ATTTTCCACGTATTCATTGTCCTTTCATCAAAAGCACAGCTGCGTTTGTTAGAAAGTGTTACAGCTTGTGTTTGATTGTGGAACTGGCAGTCTGTCACTTATTTGTCTAGTAAACCAAACAACAGAAAGCGGTCAAGTTCCAGTACACACCTGAATCTGATTATCATTTCTGAACAAATGGTGTTTGATATGAATGTGATGTGTTTCATCAATGGTTGTTCAAGCCCGTATTGTAAAGCTGCCAGATGTTGCAGTGCACCTGTCCAAAAAAAAGAAAATAAAACTGCCAAGACGGTGTTTAAATACTTGCTGCTCCCTAACGAATGCTTAAATTAATTATTTATTATTGCAAATCTTCATGCACCATCTGTTCCAGCAGGCTAACTGATGCCTTGTATTCATTAGCAGAGAAAACATGGCTTTTCAGCCCTACATTAATTCATTTTCTTCTGAAACTACTGTGGGGAAGTTTTGGAAATGGTAAAAAGAACTGAATTAGACCACAAGGTCATTGAGAAGACAATAGCACACGCAAGTTGAATGGGCTCAGAGCTTCAGTTTCAGGGTTAGGTCCAGGAACCGTGTCCTTAGATGCACTCGGCACTTGGAGAGCTACTGTAGGCCCAGTCTGGGGAAAAGACACAAGCTTGCTTTTTTAGCTAGAATCCCTCTGAAACTGACCAGCAGATGGGAAGCTGCTGCCTTCAAACAGCTGTCCTTGGTTACCATTGCTGGATGGCATATGGAATGGTGGTATTGGCGTGTCATATGTGTAAGAAATGTGCATTGCTGTTGTCATAACAGAATAGAATGTCGTTGGAACATTGCACGATTTAATAGGAGTCAAAGTGCACTGAGTGTCTTTGTGGAGTGTGGTTTGGAAGTGCATTATCTACTGGTTGTTTGTTTTTGGCGGCCTTTTTTGTTTTCTTTACAAAAGTGGCTGAAAACTGTCATTTTGTTCCAAACATGTACCTTGGGGAACAAAAAACGAGATGTTTAGAAGAATATTCATGCAGATTGTTTTCTAAATAGAGAACAGTGGTGACCTAAAGCTCCTAAAATGTCACAAAGCATTATAACAGTGGTTCAAATGACTGTATTTGAAGTCTGAAGTCTGTTACCATTCTATAGTTTTTTTGGGGGGGTGGGGTAATTATTGTTTATACTGTGCTATTAGCTTTTATTTTGATATTTTCATTTTAAGTTGCAGTAATTCTGTGCTTTTGTAATTTTATTAGTTTTTTTTATTCTGCTGTTTAGCTTTATTTAAGTTTTTTAATAAATGTTATTTTTATTTTAGTGTATAATGACTTAAATTCCTCATCTCATTCGCTCTCATTCATCTTCACTTTATATAAAAAAGCTGTGAACATTCTGCCTAACATCTACTTCATCAGAAGAAACCCAAATGGGTCTGAAACAATGGTGAGTGAATGATTTTCATTTTTTAATAAACTTTCCCTTTAACAAAAGTGCCTTTATATAAATTTATATGACATCCGAAGACATTTGTAATATATTTTTTTGTTCAGACCAAGTTCAGGTTTGAATAATCTATTACAATTCTTAGAAAGGATATTCAATGGTTTCTCGGGTTTTACTAAGAATCCAGAATAATTTGCAGACTGTAATTTATCTAATTGGGCATAATAATTGATTTGGTATTACCAAGAAAAATGGATGAAAAAAATATTCAAAATACCATAAAGACAACGCTTGCCAGTCGCCTGCTCCACATTTCAAATTATGTCTGCTGAACCTAAGTCAGGTGGCCAATTTTTCTATTAAAAGGCATGATTGGTCCACTATATATCCATTAAAAAGTGCTGACAGATTGTAAGAGCTTTGTCCCGTCACTGAGTACCTCTTTTTTTTTTTTTGTCAGTACAGCCACAGCCTGATTTGTTTGTTTTGGCAGAACCGGTCATATTTTAGGAAGTATCGCTTTGTCATGCGGTGAATGCAATTTAGGGCATTAATGTACAGTTTGGCAAATGCTATACCTTTATTATCTTTTAGTATTCGAGGTGTTTTGCAAGGGGCAGAAACATTACTTCTCTGCTTGAAAGACTGTCTGTGTGTTAGCTTTGAGTTGACAAAACAGTCTTTTTCTTCTGGGTAAACTGATGAATAGATGACTCATTATGCACTAACAGATTTTTGCCCAATCAAATGCTCTCAATAAGCAAAAAGCCCCTCCCCATGAACTGGCAAATAATCAGCAAATATTGGTTCATGGCTATTATGTAACTAAAAAGTATAGTTCCTGTTATTGTAATAATCACTCTTTGAGACGTCAGGTATTGACAAGTGGTTTATTCAGCAGGAACGGTGAACAATCTGTCAGTATTTTCATATTTTGTACAGAAAGCAATTGAGCACCAGTAGCCCAATGAAAGCCTCACAAGCAAAAGAATGCTTTAATGATCAATGCCTAGAATCCTAGTATGTGTTCTTCCATACTGTTTCTGTCTCTGGAGTTATGTTCTGATGACAACTATCAAACTCAAGCAAAATGCCGCAAATCTCCGCAGCAGTCTTAAGTCCTACATTCAATTGAATGGAAGCAGAACAACTTCAAAATAAGCACACAGTTTTTATCTTTAGTGCTGCCCATGATACACCAACAAACCTTAAATATTCAAAGTCTTTGGTATTGTGTGAGGACCTTTTGCTGGAGGTCTACACCAAATTGTGCACATTATATAGACATTCTGGGTGGCTATTGCATATGATTCTACATTATTCTATTGTTTCTTAATTCAGATTGAGATTATATAAAACGCATACTGCCCAGTTCAAAATTACAAACACTTTAAAACCCAAATTTAGGTGGTCCAGAAATGGATAGTTACCTTTCTGAAATGTTATCCATCTGTATCATCTTGTTTATAGATGATTTATCTTCGAATGGTCAACGTCCTGCTAGTTAAAATATACAATTTCTTCATAACACTGATGGTGTAATTTACTTAATTTTGGTGCAATTTTCCTATTAAACCTTCCCAGATATATTGATTGATAAGTAAAAACATAGGCAAGTGAAAAGGAAAAACAATGGTCCTGAATAGTCGTACAGTGTTAGCCAAATTACACTGTTACTAACTGGTTGAATTGTACTGTAACTGTGTCTGTATTACACTGAAGACTGTTTTGCACCGTTTCTTTGCCAGTTACAAATACACAAGTTGTAGAATCAGTGCCAGGATGTCTAAATGAATGTAGTGTGCATGAAAAGCTACTTTGTGATGGCCAAAATCTTGGTAATGCTGGACATTTGCAGTTCACAGTACTCTGTCAAGTTTTTTGGCATAGGGACGTTATTGTTTCAAAAATAATAATTTAAAAACCGTAGAGAAAACAAAAACAGCAATTAACCATCTCGGGTCACATTTTTTCCCCTTTTTCCATGCATTCACAGCTCTCACAAAAAAAACTTTCGCTCGCTTACACTGTAACCTTATTGAAATAGCTTAAAAATAAAAATAAAAGAATATTATTACAATGGTGGCCACAAGGCTGTGCAAAAGGGAAGACTTCCAACATAGAGCTTCATGTTTTCAGCCAACCCCTGCAAGTAACAAACTACAAAATAGCACCATTATACAGTGGGTTGATCTTTTATATGGTTCCGCTATATGATGCCATCACATAAGATTATGGTTAGAGAATGCAAAGGTTAATATAGGTTGAGTATAGATACAGAGTAAACAGTGTGGGTTGACGTGATTCATTGGGGTCAGAAAAGAGGAAATCACCATGCAGAGGGACTGTGAAAACGGCCTAAAGTGGGCTGTAGGGGGATAGTTCACCCAAAAACAGACATTCTGTCATTATTTATGCATCTTATGTCATTTTTATTAACCTGTGCTCTGGTATTTTTCTTTTTCAGAATGAGAATTGTTTCTAATATTTGCTGTACAATCATAGTTTATAGTGACCACGTCTGTAAAGCTTCAAAAAGGGAAAGTAAATGCAAATAAAACATAATTCCAAATGACTCGGGCTCTGCAATCCAGAAATTTAAATCATTATTCACTGACAAATGTCGCCTTTATATAAGCCCATTTACACTGTGGCAATAAAAATAAAATAAAAAGGTAATTGTGTGATAGTTTCAAATAGTCACATATGAGCCATAAGGCTGTGTTATGCAAAATAAAGTCGCAACTGCCTTTTACCCAGCAGAAACGAGTATCAGAAATGGACTGAAAAAGTCGTAAGTAAACACATGAGGAGGTAAAGTAAAAATGAGTGAATGACACAATTTAAATTTTTGGGCGAAATATCCTTTTAATATAGGTAGTGAGTTGCAGTAATGTCACCAGTCTTTCGCTGTAAAGATGCAAACCTGCAACTTCCTATTTGATAAACAGCAGCTGCTAAACCAGATTATGTTCTTCTTAATGGTATATGTTACAATTGCTCGTAATTTTTTGCATCTGTTGTGGTTTCTGTTGTCATCCCTCTGTCTTTACTGTGTGTGCTGATACACTGGTGTAAATGCATGCGGATAACTGTTCGAGTGAATGGCTTTCACCTCCCATTTTCTAAAGAAGGTAAACCATACAGTTAAAATGATTAAAAAAAGAAGCAAAGATCCCTCACACACAATTTAAAAAACACACACACAAGGTGTTTTGCAGGATGTAGGTCGTGTTCCATCAATCCTAAATGTGTTCTCTAGAGCACCTCAGCACATCTGCAGAAGGCTTTTGTATAATCCCCCTTGATCTGGTCTTGCACAATGATTCAAATACGAAAAGACTGATTTGTATTTTATACGTCATCTCTCTGTGCAGCCGTAGTTTGGTTTTGCAAGGGTTTCAAATGGGTCTAGACAGCCTTTCTTGTCAACACGGTCCGTGATCTCACTCCTTTCTGTGCCCGCAAACATTAATATTTTGCCACTAAAAAAAAACTTCCGGCATCCATTAGGTGCAACCGTTCACACGAGGAGATAAACCGTTATCATTTGACTTTTTTAGCAGCTAATTTAGTATTTTCCCCCAGTATGGAATGGTGCAGTGTATGGAAATCATCAGATTTTGTTTGTCTTAACATGGGGCTTTAACAGTATCCAGTATCTTGTTGTTTTTTTTAATTGTATTTTTAGTATTTTGTTGGGGTTTTTTTGTTTGTTTTGTTATGTTTTGTTTTTTTACAGTGGAGCACATCCCTGGAAGACCACAGTCTTTCTTTCCTCTCGTTTTCCGCTGTCCAACAGTTTCACTTGTCTCTCTCAGCCATTCGCCCTACTGTCCTCTACATGCGATAGTTTCTGCCCCCTGTATTTCCTCGGCTCGAGTTCTTCTGATGAACCTCCTGAAAATAAGAAAGAGAAAAGGCAGTAAGCTGATGAGAAGTAATGAAGAAAGCCGACCCAAGGAGAGCAGAATGGCTGCTGCTGCCCATAACAACACAGCTCTTTGGTGAACAG